TCTTTTGAGTAATACTACCACTCTCTTACCGCATCTTCCTTGCATTTCTTAGGCATCTAATACTTTAGATTTGTGTTCATCTGCATATGTCCCCTTACGAATATCTACAGTTTCAAAGGTATCCACGTATATGCTTATAAAAATAAACGATTGTTCTAATAATAAGTCAAGTCACTGTAGATTATCAACTTGGTTTTACTAGCACATAAGGCGTAACTCGACTCGCATTGCGATACTGTCTGGAGCTCGGTATGTTTGAAGCCTTTTACTCACTGGCCTAAGAGTAGGCCTTTAATTGACGTTAAGGATATCCAAATATATGTTTAGAGAGGGTCTACTGTAAGTTCTACAAACCGCAAATTTAATTAAATTTGATTTCTCGTACTCTAGCCCTACATTTTCTTAAAATCATCTATTTTATATTTAGCCATCTAGCCATGATACATGATCAGTATTTAACATATATGTTGGATGGCTCTTTCGACTAGAGAGACACTTATACGCTAGATTTCATCCGCAAGTGCCACTATGAGATATTCTAGCTTATACAGAATATTCGAACCTCCTCCGTGAGTTACCATCAAAGGAAAATTTAAAAACCTTCGGTTATCCAGGAATGCCTTCGCAATATGTGCACAAGAACATGACAAGAAATACGCTAGAATCTTGCTGTCTTCGAACTATCTATCTCTCGTCTCATGTAGGATTTTTGCCCAAGCTATCCAGACTCTACTTAGAAAATTGGCCCGGATGATGCATCATCCAGCTGTGATGGTGCTTGTGTAGTTGCCTACACTCTCAAGATCGAAGGCTTGACGCGCACAGTGTTCTTCAACCCGTAAAAGTACTAGCCAAAATTCAAATTTTCATCCCTTCCGAAATGATATCCATCATTGATATCATCTCTTACTTCCGTCCCGAATATCTGTCTCCTATATTCGCGCGCCAAATATCTTCTCCTATTTCAAATATTCATATCGGCAAGGGCGCATATCCGGAGACTACCCAAAACCGAACATTGATTTGACGAGAGATTTTGACATGGTAACGAGGGTGTACTGGGTCATTCTTGGAAACTTTATGATGCTTTTGTAGGAATTAATATCGTTGGGAGTAAGGAACTAATGTAACAGGGAATATCGAATGATTGCCTCATGTGCCAACTTCTTTGGTATTATGAAGTATGACTGGACTTGGCTCTGGAATAATTTTTTGCCTCATGGCTCGTTGATGGCACGGCGAATAGCTGCTCAATTTTTTCACTTTGTATATTGGAGTCAATTGCGATAATTTTGTAGCTAGGCGTTGAGAAATTGGACATCATAATGCCGACATGGGTCACGGATTTGCAAACTTGGAACTAAAATCTGGATTAGTCAGGCCTTCTAGAACGACAGAACAAGGGTCCCCTCTATGCACGCAGATCTCCTGATGAAGGAAGCATTAGCCAGCGTTGAACTAATATCTCACATTCTTGATTTTTGGGAAGCAGCATTGTATTATCTGAGTAACTCCATTGAAAACTTGTCTAAAACCATAGATATCATTAACTGATCTCGGCGCCGAATACTTGATGAAAGAAAAGTAGAGTGCCTATTTAAGTTGGTGCGCGTCGGGTACGTGGAGTTAAGCTGAATAGTTGGAGCATAAAACTTTAAATATTTCCTCACACACCACTTAATGTTGAAACACAGGGTATTTTTGCTTTGATTTCAACCTTTGGATGGGACTGCAACCTTGACAAATGTTGGGAGAGAGGGGATGGGATGAACCAAAAATCAAATCTTTTCTCCATTTGTTTAGGAGACTACAGACCTGATTGAGGTTAATCACCCTTGCCTACAGTTTTTTTCAGCGGTTGGACTGCACGCTATGACTAGAGGGTCATTAACTTCAGAGGGTGGAATTCTTTTGAAGAGTTTTGTTGTTGAGAGAGTTTCAGCAAGCTGAATCATCTTAAGCGCCTGTGCGGAGGCTGTAGAAAAGGGGAATAATCGGATTGCTTGGAGCGATATGGATAACTGGTGGAGATCTGGAGATGCAGACCCAGATGTGAAGGTAGTGAGTAGTCAATGCACGACAAATGTAGCGGCTCGTTGGTAAGACGTTCAAGTGAACTGGATTCTTGTTTCTGACCGTCTAGGATGCAGGAGAGGTGATTTGCACCGAAGCTGACCCTGTACTCATGGAGGATTTGTCCAAAATAGATTTGATGAGAACCTCGGGCCAGGAAGATTTCGAGATGGAGGGCGTGGATATTACGGAACGGTTTACTGAGTATGAAGATAAATGGACAAAGTTGAGACAGCATTGGCTTATTATGTGCAGTCGCAACTTTGTCAGAATTGTATCTCTGGACCTTCACGGCGAGACGGAACTGGCCTAGTCACGGGGCAAGGCACTTGATTGCATGGAAAGTCACGGGGACACGAGCAACTCCCGATACGTCCGACGATCGATCGAAGGACACGACTCTATTTCCTGTTGTGTGCGAGATGCCCGCCATCGGCGTCAGACAGTGCTGAAGGTGTTCGGATTTCATTTTTTGCCAGGCTTTATCTACAGACCGTGTAATTTAGGCTCGCAGATTGCCTCTGTTCTCGTCAAGTGTACGACAGATGAGCCGCTTCCGCTGGAAGGTGACAATCGTAACTAATCGACCGTTCTCTATTATCGCATATGCCAGCCATTCCGACTGGAAACCATATCCACCCGCCGCACACGATTCTCCGACCGCAAATGTGAATTGTACTCTTTGCATTTCACCAACATGGACAGGACAATATCCTGCTCATGTCAGCCCACGTCTCAGTGACAGACTTACTCGTCTTAGAAAAGCAGACTCGGCTGATGTCTTATCAGCTTTGAGGAATTGTATCCATGGTTAGGTATTTATTTAAACCTCTTCAAAGTCCAAGGCTGTGAAAGACTCTCAGAGTCAATTCAGAAAACCTCGTAACAATTAATAAGTCATCGTAGCCAACTAAATTGTTTGTCCAGAGAAAATCTACTGGCAAGGGGTTAAAGCGAAGCGTCAAGCAGCGCATGGCTTGTGTCTCTCGCAGCTTTCGCCTCTCCTCACACCGCATAAACATTCCAGGTTGTTGCCACAAACAAGAACAGAACACGCTGCATGTCGGCGATGACACACAGATGCCCTGGTCCTGTCGCCCTGGGCTCTCCCCAATCTTGTATGCTTGGTTCCCTTAACATGTAGGCATAGTCTAGAGCTGTAAGACTGATGTTCTACTGGAGATATTATCTATTATCGCTATTGTGTTGATTTATTGTGCCAGTTGAGTCAATAACTATCTAACATATTGAGCTCCTCTCTGACCCAGGCCACACCTCAAACGGCGCTGCTATCCTTCTTTTTTAAAAAAAATGTTATTGATATAATGCCCATGTTGGATAGTCATTCAGTTCATTACTAACCTATGGAATTCAGCCTCCTTCTCCAATTGAAACTTCTTCCCAAAAAATGCAAAAAAAAAATAATAGAAATGGGAATTATGTGTATGGCGAAGCTAGATAGTCCATGTTGTGCTGCTAGTAGAAGCCAAATCGACAATCCGACGTCGACAGGGAGAACGATGCACGCTAACATTCTCACCTACTTCACAATGGTTGCACGCTCAGAGATCTTCATTTCTTTTGAACCTCAGCCGCTGTGAGAGGTCTTGCTCGCCCGCAAGAAACCCTCCGACGCCTTGACCGTTCAGCCAGCGGATGCTAGCAATGGGACGTGTATAATTGAAGTAGGGTCCCAGTCAGATCTAAAGGGGGGCATCTTGCAACTAACCATCACATTTCGATGTGGCAGGGCTGAAGTGTACGTGTTTATTGTTGTGCTTGCGGCTGCGATTGCGGTTGCTGCATCAACGAGCCCACATAAATCTGAGGACCGAGTGCACGAAGATGCGCCGACATGCACCTCTGCCGGCGTCACTCGAGAGATGCCTAGGTTAGCCATGTCCCAAGCGCATGGCTCTTGATCCGACGTGTCTGTAACATCCTGGTGCTATTCTTTCGCCAGTTGACAATGGTGCAGTGCGGTGGCTGGAAATGTCTTTACTTGTCCACGAGGGACAGAACCTTCCACAGCCACGGGCAAGTACTCGCCAAGCACGGAGCTGGCTGCGCCGCTCCTTTTGAACTGCTGGGCTGAATGCTCATCTTGCAGCTACTGCTGTTTACAGTATTTTTGTTGCCGCTGCTGCGACTGTGCGGCCTGAGCTAGGCGCGTGTAGTGGTTACTGCAAATTGCCGTGGCTGGACCCGCGAGGTCGGAGACCAGGACCTCTATTGGCCCGCGATGACTAATACAGTAGCAAGGTATATGGTGCATGCGACCAGGGTGTCCCGATCCCCAACGCACAACAAATACCTGTCCATCCATGCCTCCATGACCGGGCGGCTAGCAAGTATTTGCGCCGGGGCTCCGGCCATGGCAGATAGGCCCATTACCTCGCCATTCATCCCACCCACTATCCTGCCCGTCTCGCTGCATTCCGCCTGCTGCACGTGCCTCCTTGCGTCATCAGCCGTCACCGAACCGCTGTTACTTGTTGTTGGTCGACGAGTAGCCGAATCACGCGTCCGGCGATATGGAGTGGCATGCGCATTTGTGTGTTGCTCGCCCGTGTCGGCAAAACCTGCTCGCCACCTCCTCTCCCGCCCCCGCTAAAGACCACGCGAGCCCGTCTCTGCAGAGTAGGAAGGGTGAGAGGCCGCCATACGCTGTGTCCATGCCCATCGCCGGCATTTTCTCATCGACAGAGCCCAAGTCTTTCAAGCGTTCGCAAGCCATCTTTTGTCACCACCATCCACATCATGTCCGCTGGAAAACTTCGTCCTCTAACTATTTCGTCCGTTGCAACGAGAACAACTACACGAAGACGCTAACCACACAAAATTTAGCTGGAATCTCTCGTGCTTCGTCGACGCCTTTACAAAATACTGCCTCTCTCTTCTATACAACCTAAATTCCATCTGCCGACATGTCCGTCCAACTGAAACCTTTGTTACTCCCGAGATTGGTAGAGCGACGCCGTCGAGGTGAGAGTATCTCCGATGCTGAATTCAACTATTCATCGTCTTCATCGTCATATTCGCGTAGTCGCTCTGCTTCTGACATCACTTCACCTACTACGCCTACATTTTCTGCTCGGGGAGTTCTCAGATGTCACAGTTCTGCTTCATCTACCGAATCCTATTCCCTACCATCTGAAGCTCACCCTATGTCGCCGAACTTTACCGAGGCGCAAACGAGCATAACATCGCTACCCGACGTGCTAGAAGAGTCACAAGACCGTGATTACCATTGGGAACCGCCAGTTGACGAAGCCCCCGAAGTCTGTGTATGCCTTTGTAGACGTAACTTGCTCCTCTTGAACACCAAGCTGTTGCTTCGGATCACTAACGCATTGGATTCTAGAGAACTCTCAACTTTTTCTATCCCATGACCCATACATGATCTCAGAGTCGGCCATGATCACGAGCGATACTAGAACAACGAACCCGGACTTTGATTATGATCTAGACTACGGAGGCTTTACTGATACCGAGACCTCAGCGAGACCTAACTTTGACAAGAGAAGCGACAGCTTTACAAAGCAACTTGCAAGCAAAATACCATTATTCGTGCGCAGACACAAACCCCCCAATACGGAAAGATTATTTTCTGCACCAGTATATAGCCGAGGAGATCAAGCTTCACTAAGGGAAAAGCGCAGCTGCTCAATGTCCAATTTATTTCGACGAGCATTTGTCGCACAAGCTTCAAAATTTCCGGAAACATCTACTCTACCGAGTAATCCAAATATCAAGCATCTGAAACAAGCCGAAGTCGAAGCTGCTTCCCATACTGCAAGGATGGTCGATAAAGCACGCGCTGAAGCGACAAGTACACCCCTACTGCCTCCCCTCATGAATGATGCGCCCGCCAACTTTATCACTCACACGACACAATTATCACTACAACATGCCCCACCTCATGGATTAAGGAAAAAGACTGGTAATAAAATCGGTTGTGAAAAAGCTACCATCCAAGCCCCTTCGTCACAAGCAGTGAAAAAGTCTTTGTCTGAACCCTCCCTTGAACAAATCTCGCATTCTCCAGGAAGTTTTCGAATAAAAATAGAAGATTTGAACGACGAATGGGCCAACAAACTTGGGCATGCTAATTTTACCATACTTCCAGAACCCTATATTCCACCTACCTTTGACATTAATGCGTGTCGAAAGCTTCGGAAAGATTGGGATCATGCTCGTTTTAATTATACGAAGCATTTACTGCGGACTGGCGAGCATTACGGAATCACCTCTCAAATATATCAATTAACAGAAGAAAAGTGGAATGCTACTGACAAGATCTGGCAACGTTATCACGAAATAACAGTCGAGAATATGATTGAGAATGGCAGTGGTGCCTTTAAGAGTACTTCAACCTGTCCTTGGGATGAGGAAGAACATTCGACAAACACCTCCCCAAATAATCTTAGTAGGCACGGAAATAAGTATTCTCTTCTTGGTGACCAAAATATCATAGGTCCCATGGTCCAAGCTGCCGCTACCCTCCGACGAACTCCACCAACCAAAACCAGATTATTGAACTACATCACGAGAAAACTACCTTTCTCATCATAAAGGCTTATCGCTCGACGCTCAAGCCCCTGCTTGTGTGTAAAATGCAAAATCTCAATCATTTACCAAGCTGACGAAGCGAGTTAAGCTTTCCAAACAATCTTAAAATACGTAACAGCGCCCGAGAAGCGTCTTGCTGTGAGTCGTAGCAACTCTTCTCTGACCCTGCCGCTAAAAGCTTTGGGAACCATTGGCGACCTGGCAGTACTCTCTAAATCAAGAGCAGAACTATGGAGGAGAACTCATAGACTTAAAAGTCTGTAGTCCCAGGAGTGCAAGGAACAAAACTCGTCATGGATGAGATAGATGAGTCTTTGAGAAGACTGATGGTGGTACTTGGCTTGCCACGAAAAGGAAGCGCGCCCACTCCATTTATCAGCGTCTGAAGGAGGCTAAAGATGGCTAAAACTAATTTAGACGCTATAAAAGTTTACAAAATTATAGAAGCTTTGTCGGATACAACTAAATTTTTCTAACAAGATGAAGGTAAGCTGGTGGGATACAGACAAGGGCGGCTCGAGGGTATTTCTCCCAAAAGCCTTGGCTACATTAATAGTTCAGTCTATGGGTAAATTAGATGCTAGCAAGAAGCTATCAGAGCTTCCAAGTCCATCATAGCTCTGTGGAAAAAGTAGCCGGAACATCGACCGCATATATGCGTTTAATCAAGGACAGTAGAAACAAAACTTTCGCAAACACTTGCCTATGCGCAGACCTGCTTCCGATTATAAGGATCTTTGAATAACTATGTACGTAGAAAAATACAGATGAAAAATAAAGGCGCTCCTCAGACACACGAGTGGCCCCGTTGAAAGAGATTTGAAGTCTCGAACGTCAATCTGTATGGCAGACGACGATGTGTTCCAGGGGATTGATTGTGCCAGTGGAGTCGGTATTCCTAGTCTAATTCCGTGTGGTCTAGAAAGCTCGGACACATAAGACGAAGCGGGAAGCTGCGGCAGCCGTAGCTCCTGTGCCGGAGCCGTGGGCCGGAGGTTATTGAGTTATGCAAAAGCTTTCGCGGGTGTTGGGCAGACGGGACGGGGGTATCGGGCAGCTAGGGACTTGGGCAAACTAGGACCGCCGTCTTACGGTACCTAGTCCTCAAGCTAGGGCAGGGAGGTATGCGGCACGGACCAGTAGACCGGGTGCCGGGTAGCGGAGCATGGAGCGGTGCAAGGCGACCATCCGAGATAAATCGGGTCTGGGTGCACCGAAAAGTCTAGAGTCGCGGAGCGGGCCGTGGACTGGGCGTCGATCACGGCGCTTGCCGCCCGCCGAGGGCCCCCTGTCCCGGTGAGATCCCGTGCACTTTTCTACTCCCACCTCTGTTCCTGCGCCATGACCCGATTTCTGGCTATGCAAAACGTGACCTTCCTGGACCTATCGGCTGGCCGGCGCGACATGGGTCATTCGGGCATACCTACTTAGTCTTATCTGTGGGGGGGCCGACCTTTGTTATCCACTGACAAGAGCCCCACGGTACCGTGGAGGGGGATCTGGCCTGCACCCGCTCGAATGCAAAACGCCTCGCTGCGTGGGATCGGATTCAACTACGATCCATTCACATCTTCGCCAATTTGAAGATATTTTTGCCTACTCACAAATTTTCTGTGGACTCCGCTTGTCTGAGACGCAGAAGACAAAGTTACTGTGCGATACCAAAGGCTCAGAGCCATGGAATTTTTTCTTCTTCCTATCTAGGTGGAGAGGGCGCCTGATGCGACTAATTATTAGTGCTCGATTGACTCTCTAGCTCTCGCTTTATTGTTGGCCCGGGCTCATCTATCCATCGCCAAATGGCCACAATTATCCCTCCTATTTGACATCCACCAAACAGACAATAGTCTATCGTCGAAGGCTGATACTAACCGAACTTCAACTTTAGCATGATAGACCAGAAGGTTTCTGATCTTGGAATACTAAGCCAATACATAATCCATCAAGGGATAGACTATTATTCTCCTATATGGTAACCGTTATCTTTGTCACTGGCCCTTATAGAATCGAAGCACCTTGCCCTCTAAGGAAATGTTTAACAAAAAGACATGGATGGGAGATGCCCTGTGCCTTCTCTCGAGATTCCAGCGCCGTTGCCTTTCTATTACTTTGCGAGAGAGATCCAGATAGTGAGAGCATGAGCCTTTCGCATCCCTCTTCACTCGAAACTAGCCTAATGCTTGCTGCAAAGTTTGTTGACCAAACTGGCCGTAAAGCTTCGCGCTAACCTATCCTGAAGTGGCTAAATTACGGAGCCTACAATACCGAGGCCTGCCGTGACTAGATCGGCGATTCCTCCCTTGGGATGAAGAGAGAAGTAGACCAAGCCGTTGATCTGAACTTTATACAGAGATTTAACTGGGTAGATACACAGGAACTTAGTATGTAGGAAGAATTCGGCACACTCAGATAATCCTCTCCACACTGAAAGATTTACCACAAATGCACACTTCTTAAATTATCTCGAGGCTCTGGTGGGGTTTATGTCGTCCGAGCCACATCCTCGTGGGATGAACACTTCAAGGAAATCTTTTCTTAGCAGAGTTGAACTCGCCACTCCCCCGCTAGTATGCAAGTCTTCTTGGTCTTGGGAATCATAGAAATTCCGGGTAATCTTGTCGCCCACAAAGAAATTAGAGATTGTGCCGCTATCGTGCCGAAAACAGAGCTTGCAAGCGTCTAGCCATCCCCAGGCACTGGACTAAGCCGGAATTATTAGTCTTTGGGCGCTAAAACCTTTGCCGTCAAATTGGGCTCAATGAATGTATGCCGAATCTCTGCAGCCAACTGAACAAATTTTCGTTGAAACCTTCTCATCGCCTCGCGTCAAGAATAAATTTAGGTGGTTTGATAATCTTTCCAAATACTCCTATACGTTAAAATACTCGATGAAATAATGATGTCCACTTGAAGATGAGAAGAACGGAAGGTTTTAGGGCCGCCATAAGAAGTACCGTATCGGATACCCTCGGGCCTGAAGGACCAAAACCGGTCACTATGCTACAAGAGGCACCGAAGAGAACTGGCGTATGGTACAAGAAAAATATTGCGTGAACGGGGAGCTATTCATATATGTAGACTATCTTAAAAAAGCATGTAGGAGTGTTGGCCTAGATTAAGCGAAAGATCATCTGCAGTATTATATTCTTCATCAGAACCCAAAATCTTCCGATTAAATTCAGATTTCTCATATGCGAAACAGTGCACCACACCGTCGAGCTACAAGTCTCAGGCGCCGAGATAACCTCTTATGCTCTTCTGTGGACCTCGATCAATTGTTTCTTTATCCTACTCTTCACTCTCTGTACTATTAATGCTCCCTCGTCGTAACCCGAGCGCAATAGTTGTCCAAAGACTATCAAACTATAGATAGTTTGGAAGCGACCAATGTTAGATAGAGAGTTTAAGGGGTTAGGTTTACAAAGCTTGGAGTTACTTGTTTCGGACAAAGGTGTTTCGCTTGGGTTATAGCAATAAGAACTTGAAATCTTCTGACTAGAGATGTTTCGTTTTAAACCATGAGAAACTTGGTTCATGGGGACGAGTTGGGGATAGATAGAAAATTGCTATTTCCTGAACATACATAATCTAGATAGTAACGGAAAGAGAAAGGGCAGCCAGGAATTAATTGACACTTTTTACATAATTCAATTGACTCGTAGTGTCTAACAAAGACCGCTGATAGGAGGATATATTCTAGGATAGAATCTATCACGCTTGCAGTATACTTCGATGTTTATCCAGTGTGTGTGGCCCTCTTTAGGAGAACGGCGGAGATAGCAATGCGCCAGTTGGCAGTCCGTGTTTATCTACGTATTTTTACTCCGATCTCATGATTATCTTGCAGCCTATGGTTTTTCTCCGAGTGCAAAGCATTTCCTACTGAGGTTCGCTGGGGCATAATCTTCTAGTCCGAGTAGAGCAGCCAATAGGCGGCCTTGACTACGAGGCAATTGGGTGTACGTGAAGCAAAGCCGAGTATCTCGAAGGATTCTTAAGATTGAATGAATCATTACTATCATCAATAGATTTTCCGTGACCCAAGCACGATGCAGCTTCGTATAGCTCTTTCTAGTGAGATTCTTGTCGTCGCCACAGTTAGTACCTCGGAGCTAGCTCACATTACCCACAGTCCCTACGCTGGCATGCCACCGGTTGACTCCCACTTGAGTTGGGCCATGGGTCATGGACGCGCCGCTGCGCCTTCAAAACCATGCATACTAACGCTGCTTAGCTCCAAGGGCCCAAAGGCGGGAGACGAGGACTATGCTGGCGAGGGTCAACACGACAGCTGCGGCAAGGGTCATGTAGAGATACAATCCATTTTCTGATTCTAATCGCTACAAAAATCATCATTAGCCCCCAGGTGTTGTGCTCAGCTATGTAGTATGGTAGATCTAGTAGCTAGTGCATGAGTAGTTATTATGGCGCATGGAGCATACCCAGTCTCTACATAACGACATTACAAGTGGTTATATGTGCAGTACGAGAGATGGGTTGTTGATATAGGACGAATGGTGTGCCTGCTCATTTGGGAGCACACTTTGGTGAGCTGCATACTGCTTACGTGATCGTTCTACAGGCGAACAAGCTAGAGGATGAGGGATGAGCTTGCCCCTATCTGTAACATAACAATTATCAATGGAACTTCACTTCTGCATATTGATGAAGATATCTCTCCACATACTATCTTAGCTGTTCCAGCGCAAGTGTACATTCTCAAATCATATACCAATCATAATACCAGGGCTAGGGCAAACATTATCTACTAGCATCTAGAGAGCGAGTCAGTATCTTAAACGCGCGCCCGAGACGAGAATTCTACCAAGTAAATACTCTTGCGGCCGTAGGTCTGGAGGAATACGATTCGCTTGCTTGCATTTCAAGAGACATGTGCCAGAGACTATCATGTAGAGTAGAACCAACGGAAATCCATCCCAGTCATCTAGATTCATGTCACCATTCCCCTCGCAAGCCTATCTGATGCCCTAGACATAGCACATGCCCTCGTCTCCGAGAAATCCGTTCATAATCTCCCCGTCCACACAGCGGCAGGGCCACGCTTCACCAACATACCAGGCCGAGCCATGAATACTCGGAAAACACTGATAGGTGTTGAGAATAGAGCCCTGATGTGGTAATGTACTCTCGCACTGAAGCAGCGAAGATTGTTTATGGGGAAATATATTTAATTGATAACGTTAGTTACAGCTTGGTGATAACTAGTAGGTTTTTTTGTGATTATTTTCCTATTAAGTTTACGACTATATAAGGCCATGTAGGTCCTTTCTACCTACAGGCCAGGAGTATCTATGTCACCGGTAGTGATTTCCCTTTTGTGCCTCCTTCACATCTTTCCAGCAGTAATACCCCCACACGTCTTCATTCGAGTACACACTTAGAGCCGATATCCTATCAGTATCTCCCTTCTCCAGCTAACGAGACGATGGCTATTTGCGGGTGTGTAGCTGCAGGGAAAAGTCTCAGAAACCACTGGGTGCGGGGCTCTCCTATGACGAAGAGGCCGGCCAGCCGGGCGTAGCAGACCTGTATATACCTAAGAGTGTCTCAACCTTCCTAGTCTCCTCCTTATTCCTCCCTTGATTCATGCCGCAGGACAAATCGAAGGTCATGAAAGGATGTCAGAAAAAGTTATGGTCGAGTGTGACTGCCGTGAAGGAGCCTAGCCTAGCATCCAAAAGCCATTAAGGACGTGGAATTGTCTAGGAACTCATGTTTCTAAGGGGCTCTCCTGACTATTAGATTCGAAATTGATGGTTAGAAGAGACTATGTTCTTGACGAGTCGGAATCTGCTTCTCTTCAAGTCAGAAGGGTCTTTTACTTTAATTTCCTGAACTTTTGTTTGCCCGCCAGTGGGTGGTACATGTTGTGACATTATAAGGGCTTCTGTGACTACCGTTATAGCGTTTGGGACCGCATCATCTTTCCTCAATCCCAGTCATATTATCGTCGTCTTGAACATCTTTGGTGTTATCGGAAGCGGATATTTGAGTGAGGGTGGGTCAATTCAGCTCGAATTTAAAAGAGGTTACTCAATCTCGGCTCTGCAGACTCTACAGTGAGAGCTGGAGGTATTTAGGGACAACGCTGACAGGTATTGGGTTTGTGTCCCATGAAGCAATTCTTTCCTTATCCGCTTGTTGACAAATTACATAATCGATCTGCAGTGCCCCCAACTGAGCGACTATGCCATCAGTCCTATCTTCATTACCAATATCTCATGTTGCACAAGGTATTACATGTGTTGCAATTATGTAGAGACTGGATCACCTCCATGCGCCGCGATGCGATAATAACTAATTGTGCACCATCTGCCAGATCTACTTTACCTAAATAGCTGAGGTTGATTTGAAGAGCTGGACGTGGCTCAATTCATGAAGGAAGTCTATGACAATCTCGTAACAAAGATAGGACGAGGTTACCTGAAATCTAGATATTAGTTGACCTTTCTTATTAGGCTTTACGCGTGCTAATCATGGGAGGATTTCTGGCAGTTCCAATTGTTAGTTATATTGCTAATAGAAATAGAGGTTATAATCAGTAAAAATAGCTTCGATTTTAGAATTAGGTACAGTCCGCGACACTGGTAGATTGAAGTGAAAGGTGAGTTTGGGTTTCTTTGATTTTAAACGCCTAATTATAATATTGGGAAAGGTGAGTACACGATTTTGAGTAACAGCGTACAGGTGAATCAGGATATTTATCTAGGTTTTCTTGCCCCAATCCGCAGGTGTTTAAGTTGTGATTGTTTTAATAGGTGGATCTCATTTAATTTCACTGTGCATTTTTATCATCAAAGGTATAGAATCTATAAAATTGAATTTTGTGCCTTGTCGAATGTAGACTCATAGGTTCTTGGGAGATCTGATGAAGGATTGAACTTGTAGCGAGTACGAATTGCATCAAGGCTATTTTCCATGGAATTAATTTTCTTATCTATATGGATCTGTGATTAGCTTTACAATGAAGATAAATGACTTCCGGCTCTATAAACGCTTCATTATGGCCTCTGCAAACTCATGCGTTTTGGCTTTGCCACCTAAATCACCCGTTAAAGATTTTCCTTCCTTGAGAGTATCGAAAATAGCGTTTTCAATCTTCAACGCATGTTCATTGAGTTGCATGTGTCTTAACATCATTACAGAAGAGAGGAGTAGAGCCGTTGGATTTGCAAGACCTTTTCCAGCAATATCGGGAGCTGATCCATGAACAGCTTCAAAAATGGAGCAGGAATCTCCAATATTTCCCGAGGGGGTTAAACCGAGTCCACCGATGAGCCCAGAACACATGTCAGACAAGATGTCACCATAGAGATTAGGCATTACCAAAACCTTGTCGTTGTATGGAACTGGATCAGTGACAATTTTTAGGCAGGTGTTATCCAGAAGCTCCGCATCAAACTCAATATCAGGAAAGTCTTTTGAAACCCGCTCTGCAGTAGCCAAAAATAAGCCATCACTCATCTTCATAATAGTGGCTTTGTGAACTACGCGCACTTTAGGCTTGCCAATATTCTGAGCATACAGAAATGCAAAACGTAAAACACGTTCGCTGGCTTCTCGGGTGATGAGTTTTATGCTCTGAACAACGCCGTCTACGACAACGTGCTCAATTCCAGAATATTCTCCCTCAGTATTCTCTCTAATTATCACAGTCTCAACACCGTCGTATGGCGTTTTATACCCAGCAATAGATCGGCATGGTCTGACGTTCGCGAAAAGATTAAACGTTCGGCGTAGGGTTAAGTTTAGAGAGACATGTCCTTTGCCAATGGGTGTCTAGATGAGTGTTAGTTTCTGATGTGTGTAAAAGCAACGGTCAGCTTATTAATTTACCGCCAATGGACCTTTTAATGCTACTTTGTTCTTTTCGATGCTTTTGATAGTCTCGGGTAGTATTGTTGTTTTGCCGTCTTTCAGTTGTGGGGTAACATCGACCGGCTCCCATTTAATTGGTGCCTAGGCTCTGTTAATAATTGTTTTTTCTCGCAGGCCTCAAGTCATGTACCTTAGCGGCTTTGAATATATCGATAACTGATCTTGATATTTCAGGACCAATACCATCGCCCTCGATTAAACTGGCAGTGTAACAGCCCTGCGCATTTATTAACACTCCCTTCACATCAGTCGCAACCATAACACGTGGCCAGCTTGTAGAAATGACCAAGTATTAAGTAGATACTTGAAATCAATACCATGATCGTACCTCGGAATCTTTTTGCCCATAAAAGGAAGCTATCTTCCCTATTGGCGACGAATTGCCACTGTAACTTCGCCCGGATTGTGAGAGAGATGTGATCGAGCGTAGTGTATTTTCGGCGCTTCTACGTTTGGAGGCTTGAAGCGCAAATCGTTTGGTAGCTTGGGATTTAGCCAAAAGGCAAAGGCGCCCGGTCGGCGTAGCTACACTTATCATGATAATTGAGTATGCTGTTGTGTTATTGTTGTGTAGCTAATGTTATATGTGTCGTGAGAAGAATAAAAGAAGTGCCGATTATCATGGCACGAGCGATTTTAATGGACACGTCTGACCTCAGAAATTCAAAATTCCAAGTCCCCTGCTAAGTTGTAGTAAACACCAACGTATTGTGGTCGATAACTGATTGTTTCTCGCATTTAGTGATCAAAGCGCGGTCACAATGCGACAGTAATAGATATTATTCTACTGATAATCATTAAAATTCACATTTAAACCAGTATTGGTAGATATTATCACAACCCTATCGGACATGTCCGAACCTGAGCGATTATTTCTTGAATATTACCAGCTGAAGACAGCTTTCCCTACAGAATGGCCGGCAGAAAAAGATGATAGTGAGGTTTCGGACGAGGAGCTTGCTGAGGCCTCCCGAAAAGGGGCATCCAGAAAGTCCAGATCGAGATATTCAGCCTTGGTAAAAGCTGCAAGTAATCGAAAAAGTTACTTTTCAGGTTCTCAAATAGCTATGAATGGGGCAGAAACACTAGTCCAAAGAGATGAACCAGATCCTCTCGGCTCAACGGACAGTGTCGTTGGAAAACTGAAGATGTCGGGCCTACCTGTCCAAGATAATCCATCAATGCGTCAGTTATAATCATTTCCAGAGAGAACATGACTAAATAATAGCTTAGGAAATAAATTTCTTCTCTCATCCACTACCTTCTCACCATCTTTGTTCCTCTCTCAAGTTCATTCCAAAGCCTCGACACAAGATCTACTAGATGGTCTGGATCTTCTGTCACGATCAATTGACCAGAAGTCAGCTTCCTTAAAAGTTTTGGTAGAATCAAATTTTGAACGGTTTGTGAGGGCCAAGGCCACGATTGATAATGTCTATAAAGAAATGAGGTATCAAGGTGAAGAACCTACACCGGTCACTACACGACCACGCCCACACTCAAGACATGCAAGCAGGAACAGTTTTCGAGCAAGCAGCGGTAACCAGACGTCTATGATGACCCAAACCACAGATGTAAAGAAGAAGAATGCTCTAGCTAAAGAAAGCGAATATGGGGTCCTCGGTATTAAATTACACTTATTAGATGTATCCGCTAAAGCTGAGGAGGTTTGGGGACCAGCTCTAGGAGGGCAGGAGACCGAAGATAGCTTGAAACTATTGATGACGACTATTGAACAGTATAAAGAGATTTATGAGCTCAGTGGATCAATCTCAGATAGCATTCGACGCAAAGACTTTGAGGCGATAATAGAGGATTATGGAAAGGCGAAGCAGTTTGCTGACGAGGCTAAGAAACTGTCGGATGAATTGGAGTCAACAACACCCTCCGATTCCCAAATTTTCCAAATTTTGCTAGCCGCACGTGTTTGGAGCGATGTTGAAGAACTTGTTGAAGACTTCAAACGTGATCTATGGAGGAAGCTAATTTCTGCCCCAAATACATCTCCTGAGTTAGACGGAACTTCAGGAGGTTCTCAAGATCAGCATATAGAGTTAATTTCTATACTTTTAGAGCTAGGTGTGACCGATAATCCTATTTTAGTCTGGTTATCAAATCGATATAATCATCTAAAAACTAAAATTCAGGTTACATCAGATCGCTCAAGAGTTGAGGTAGAAATAATGCGGCGACGTCTCGCGAATAGCGACAGGCCAACAGATAAGACCATTGCGACAAACTTGAAATCTCTATATCGCCATAACGTTGAAAACAATCCTCTATCAATTGATTCACAAGAAGTGATCGAATTCTGGGATAAAATACAAAGTTTTTTAGACATTTTGCTATCAAATCAAGGAATTCTTGGCGAAGTCACTGGATACTGTCAATCCGTAGAAAGCTTCGTTGACGGAAAGGCTCAACAAATTTATCGTACAAGTATCAATGAGGTTCTATTTCAGAAAAATCGACTTTCTAAAGCTGAGGCAGTGGAACTGCGAAAGGGAACTATGGAGCTCGTCAACCTAGTGAGAGAAACCATATTTGAATTTTTTTCTGATCCGCCCATTGACGATATATCGGCTCTCTTCTCACCGTTATTACAAACACCACGGACGCCTTCATTTTCTGTTCAGTTACCTCAGTCCAATCTTAGAGATCCACGAATGAGCTTTGACGCCAGTAATATGCCCCCTCCCTCTCCCAAAAGAGGAGAAGCATGGGAAAAGTATGCTTTCTGGCCTCCTTGGGCGAATACCTTAAGCGGAGTATATCACCTCGGACGATTTCTTGTGTTGATCGGCACTAGCACGAATCAAATGTCTGCATTATTTCCAGATAATTCCACTATTGAGAATTTAAAATCTCTCGTAAGTACCATACGTGAGAGATGTGCCACCGCACTATATGCGGCATGGAATAGAGATGCGGAAAACTTTAAGGTGCTAGAAGATTGGGAAAGGTCACCAGAGAAGAGCGATCAAACAAAGATGCCTATGTACTTTGGCGCATTTGAAAGTGCTGTCTTGAATGGAATGCAGAAAATATTGTACATATCAGATGCGCAAGTCAAGCCTAATTCAGTAAATGTTGTCACACCACCCTCAGCAAAACTTTTGCAGATGGTTCGGAGTCAATTTGTTACGACTCTGTACAAGTCCCTTGCTGGGCTTGTAGAGAATGCCGAGAAATCTACCTACAGGGAAGTTGATAAATGGACACAAGATTCCAATGATCTCATTAGCCCGACAGTGCTGTTAAATGCAAAAGTTTTGGGAACAGGGTCTGTTGATTCTAGCGATAGGGTAAGTGGTAGTTTCACCTCTCTTTTAGGAATTAGTGATGATAATATTTTAGAATGTCCGTATGCTTTTAACTTTGAGTAACTTGCAGGCTCTTCGTACTGAGATTGTGCCGAATCTAACTGCTCAATTTGAGAACGCATTCTCTGTAAAACTTACTGAAGAAACAAAAACTATACGGGATGTTCTGGGGCAGATTGATGCCCGACTCTTCTCTTCATTTACACGGCCATTTGTCGACTCTATTCGAACCAACATTCGAGCAGGAATCAATTCGCCATCATGGTCATCCACTGATAAGCCCCGAGAAGTTCGTCCCTATGTTTACGAAGTGTTATTATCTTTAGTCCTTGTTCACACGCAAGTCTTTACTACAGCCTCCTCTCTTACAACACAAGTTCTATCCTATTATCTTGAGCAGATTTCGATGGAAATTCTAGATGTCTTTAAACTTCGTCAGCGCTGGACCCTGCCCGAACTCATGCAAGCAACACTTGACGTAGAGTTTATTTCACAAATATTGAGCCAGTATACAACTGAAAAATCTAGTGATATGCAGAGTCAAATTTATCAGGAATTGGATAAAGGCACAGACAGTGAGGCAAGAGCATTGCTTCAAGCTGAACTACCGGAAATGAGAGCGATTCTAAAGAGGCTAAGGGATAGGTGTAGAGTTGAGTTCGCTTGCTTCAAGAGAAGTAGAAATCGATTAGAAAGGGCGCCAGCTTCATCCATACTATCAGGTTAGCAACATATTTAGGCCACTTTACAACTAGTCTTCGAATTATCTAAGATTTGAATTATAATTAAATTGTTTTAATCTTACTGTAATTCAAATAGTAAGGAAGTAAATATACCCAATGGCAATACGGAAAGAAAAAAATGTTTATTCAGTTTCTCATTAGATTAAACACGCAAGCTTGCTTGTATTTTTTACTTCTAAATACTATGTCGACAGAAGTGCCGATATTGAAGGCTGCGTACTGTTTAACCCGGCCTATTTAGATTTCCCAAAATTCTGGTGCAGCCAAAGATACCCAGAAATTTGAACCGGATTCCTAAAACGAGCTGGCTAAAGAACGTAGAAATAATTGGAGTAGATGACGCTCCTCATTATCCTTTTGATTTCTCTTCTCCCAGTCAAAAATTATACCCTGGCTTGCTCCAGAAGCTACCATGATCCAGCATCTACGCTTCCCAGTACTCCTGGATTTATTCTCATTGGAATTTAATTCCAAATCACTCAAAATATTTAGACTATCTTCAGAATTTTGAATCTCCCTGCCTTGATTGGTGCGTCTTCTAGCGACCAGAGTGTACAAATTGATCCCAGATCGTCACCTTTCTATAAGAATATTCAAAATAGAGGAAGTAGTCGATTCTTGGGGAGCAGATAGCGATAGGTCTTCTCAGTAAACCCTGAAACCGACTTGGTTATGGCTAGATCTATTACCTATTGACTCATTTGATCACTCGTCAAATCTCTCTAGTGTAGGGTATCTTTCAAATTAAACTATCACAAGATTCTCTTACTGGTAATTTATTGAGAAGCTTTTCGACTCCAGTAACAGGGAAGGGTAGAATTCTGATTCTGGTAAATTAATTAAATACCAGGTATATCAAGGGCGCTACATGCAGGCCACCAGTCATCGTCCTCTAACAGAAGTGTTATTTTGAAATTTCAGCCTTTGTCAGTAAATGCTCCTTAGCTTGTTGCTTGAGTGAAAAATCCTCATACCCTCAGGACTTGACTTGGACAATTCTGTATTACTACATCACACCTTATATTCTCTATATACCATATATTATCCTTCATTTATCCTCATCTTCATGACTCTGCTTCCTCAATATCCCAACTGCCATTAATATGTCTATTTCTCACGCCTTGATCAACAAATTGACGCGGCTGAATATTTGGAGAACCTTCTGTTTTATCTCCTTAAAATTCCTGCATACATGTATGTACACAAAAATCAACTAACTTTCCACGACCCAGCACCTCTCATCGATGCTATGTCTATTTTTGATTGAAATTATGCATGTCGTATTGGATTGTTTCTCGAGCATCATTTTTGGCGTCCGCCAGTAACTTAAATTAAAGCTATATTCTGCTTTAAAGTTGATTTCATATCGCCTGGTTTGGCGCTTTGTGTAAGAATGGTAAAATGTCTTTTGCAGCTTTTGATGGTGACACTGATTTCTCATGTCCCATTACACATGATATACTCCGGCTTCTGTACCTCGAAAGCCAAACAACGAGTTTGTGTCCCTTCAGATCTAGGTATATATTAGAATAATGAAATATTCTGTGAAATCCTCCTGATATCATTGGTGAGATTGGCATGTTGACTAGGTTTCTTGTTGTTGGTCAATAATGTCTATCCCATCACTAAGAGATGGGAATCAAGGGTGTGACAATAACGGACGATGAAACATGTCTATACATGACACCTCATGGTCCCATGCAGAAGTCTAAAATTCTTAAATCCACATTGAAAGCTAGCGGCAAAAACCTCATTGGCTGTTACGAGGTCTGGTGCACAAACTCCTTCCATTATTAACGGCACACGCATAATATTGATCTCAACGCCTGCCAAGGTCTCCGCGTGTGAAGAGTCTTTCTACAAGCTTTCTTACATCGCATCCGGGAGCTATTCCGACACTCAGATCAGATTAGATTTTTACTATAGTCCCTACCAAGTCAGGGACATGGAAGAGGGAGAGAAACTCCCAACAGACTCTAGTTATATTCGATAAACTTCTAACTTTATTCTGCCATACTCTATTCCGACAAATGCTGAGGCTCACGCCCTATCTCAATGTCACGGCGTGCGCTGATAATACTGAAAACGGCCATCTGCCGGAGGTTTCCTGGTAATGACTCGGAGATTAGGCGCGTGAGGACAATACTCAAGGCTGTCGATGGAGGACTGAGCTGACGAGGTGCCAGGAGGTGGAGGTGAGAGGGGCTAGAAATGGACGAAGTGGCGTGATGTAGTAAGTCTATAAGATTGAAAAATTAAAGGATTGAGAGACTGGACAACTACTTTGTGGTAGCTCCAACTTCCACAAGTACATCTAAACTACATAAAGGAATGTAACTGAGGCTGTAGCAAGATTTGATCAGGGCTCCATTCCCTCTAACCCTGACAGTCAGAGCTTTCCCGAGAAGCTTCGTCTCGAACCTTATCCGAGGATGTCTGACCATACACTTAATCCATCATTATTTCGGAAAATCAGCATAAGCGTATTTTTCGTTGAATCTTTCGGGTCATCATCTCATTCGATGACATTAGCTGTCTGGTTTCATTCAGCCCTAGTACCAGTCTATCACTAGAAAACGTGCTCACTGCGAGAGCCAGAGTGGTTTCCGTCACTTCCGTGTTTGCGCCATTCCGGACTCGGTTTTCCAGGTCGAATCAAGTCACTCTAGTAATCCCTCCTTTTGAATCCACCTTTTTACCCTAGCTATATGTTTGGCGATGTTTGCCATGGTGGCGAAAGACCAGGGTTCTGATTTTCTTAGCACTTCGCCCCTCCCCTTGGCCCGTCTGGGGCAGAGTAAGATCATATGCTCAACGTTATGGGACGGGTATCCGCAACGGTATCGAGGGTTTTCTACTTGTAAAATATTTCTTACCTAAAGATAAACCCGGAGTCTGATGTGCTAGCTCCATTCTTCCGTATCGATGCTGCTCTGAGCCCGACTAAGGGTGTGGTTGGCTCGAAGGAGATATAGACCGCAAAAGCGTTTTAGGATCTTCATCGACGAGAGAAAAAACGACACTCAATCTCAGCTCAATGAGCTTTGTATTGAGAACTAGAGATTCACAGAGGACACCGATGATAGGTCTTGAGTCCTCTTCCTATATCTAGTTTTAGCTGTCTCTCCCACAACTGAATATTACTAAATTTATGGTATTGCTTGCGTACATTGACCGTTCACACTGAGCTTGGTCAAATGCGCCTGAACTTTATTGGTAAATAGTATTTTATAATTAACTAGAGACGCGTTAAGTCAAGTGGTTCTGGCTATCACATCAATTGGGTAGAATAAAGCATATCATGACGACCGGTCGCAACAAGTGATATGTATTCATACGCTAAATCATTTAGACTTGATCATCAGACCTTCAGGTCACTACTGAACCAACTTTCCTTCTCCAGATGTCAGCCAAACTATTTCTGATCTACCCCTTCTCAATCTTTTTCAGGAGAGGCTAGGGTCCACGGTATGAAAACTTAAGCCGTCATAGACCACGAAATAAGGTTTTTAGGTTTATAGATCATCTTTTTCGGTTGATCTAGAGCCAGATCTATCGATAAGCTCGTAGGAAATGCAAGGTATAGCGCACCAACCTTCTCATTATAGTGAGCTGCCCTTCTCATAAACTTCTTCAGCAGTGGCGAGAGTTCAGAATACTTGGATATTAATTTTGCAACTCTAGCTGACTTTAGTTTGCTTAACTAGCCAGCTTAGTAGATCGACCTTCGTAACTACGGCCAGAGGTTTGGAAAGATCTCTGCTGCTTGTGCTACCCTTTTCAGTTACGATGGCTGCGCTGTTCCATTCAAAAAACTTGGCTAGAGCTATCAGCGGCGTCTCCATAGTGATTTCAATATATTGGCGCCTTTCCTGTCGTTTCCTACTGTTGATATTCCGAGGTTTGCCTGAGATCGGTGTATGATCCCATCGGCTTATATCCCTCGAGTCTGTTACTATTTCCGGCACGGAAGAGAAGTCAAACATAACATCTGAGACAGGAGTTTTTCCAGTTGCTCGGCCACGACTTATCCAACTCAAGAGATTTCCGAGGGTTATAAGCCCAACAAGCTTTCCGCTTGCAGTTCCGAGAACGGGAAGTTGGTCAAAACCCTTTTCCCTCATTGTCTCTACAGCTTCAGCGCACGGTGTGTTCGCCAAGACTGTGGTTACAGGCTTTAATCTGAGTGACCGAATAGTTCCGCCCAAATACGGATCTGTTTTCGAGTTTTTCTCCATCTCAAGAGTAGGTAGCGTACTTTTTAGGGGAGGCGGGAGAAGATCGTTGGCTGCTAACCAGTCGTCATCGGCAAACTTGCTGAGATAGCTTCTGATACTATCAGGTAAAATGACCACTACCGTATCTCCTTTGCCAAGTCTAAGATCCTTGACACATTTGACCAGAGCTACCATAGCACTTCCGCTGCTGCCGCCAACCAAAAGTCCTTCCTCAGCGATTAGTCTCCTCGCAAATGCGAAGGCTTCTCGATCATCCGTTTTGTACCATAAATCGACTGATTCTCGGTCTAAGACATTAGGGATAAAATCATATCCAATGCCTTCAACTTTGTAAGCTTCATTTGCATGCTCTTGATTTAAAGTTTCGGGTAATGCAAGAATAGAACCGAATGGATCAGCTGCAACAACCTTGATCTCTGCATTATGCTTCTTAAGCCCTTTGGATATGCCTGTTATTGTCCCACCTGTTCCTGCTCCAGCAATGACAGCCTTCACCTTACCGTTGGTTTGGGTCCAAATTTCTTCTGCGGTGCCAAATTCATGTGCCAGAGGGTTGTTTGGGTTGCTATATTGATCAAGAATGTGTGAATTTGGAATTTCTTTCAGTAGGCGATTCGCAACGCCGATATGTGACTCTGGGGAATCGAATGCGGCCTGTGTGGGGGTACGAATAATTGTTGCTCCAAGCGCACGAAGCACAGCAACTTTTTCTGGTGACATCTTCTCAGGAAGAGTTATAATCGTTTTGTATCCTTTGATTGCGCCAACAAGTGCTAGACCAATACCACTGTACGAAGTCAGCAAATGCGGCATTATGTATCATTGGTACGGACGTGTTTCCGCTAGTAGGTTCAATCAGAGTATCACCTGGCTTTATCCTTCCAGACTTCTCAGCTTCTTCTATCATGCGAAGAGCTATACGGTCTTTGATACTCCCACCGACGTTTAAAAATTCAACTTTTGCATAGACTTCTGCCTCAATTCCGAGACTTTGAGGTATTTTGTTAAGTCTGACAAGGGGCGTATTCCCTATCAGTTCAGCTGCGGATTGCACTCGAAATGCATGTCTGCCAGTAGTAATATTCTCTTCGAGGACTGTCATAATTTCTAGAGAATTAATCTAGGTGAAAGGAATGGATAGGTAGGGTTATTTAATACTGCAAGGCGGTCGAAGCGTAGGAAAAACTCGGGTGATGATTTATATATTATAGAAAAGTGAAAAAAAAATCTCTCAGTTTCTTACGCGTCTATTTATCCAAAAATTTGACCTATGACTCATGAATTGCGTTGGTACTAATCCTCTCCTTTCCAACGTAATCCTTGACATTATTCTTGTTCATATGTCAGTGACGGTTTCCAGTATGCCGGCTGATCAAATTTTTCCCTCAGACTGCTGTAGAGCGCCGGTCAGAGCCTAAAATTACGGGCTCAGCACGGCCTCTGACTATTATTAGACGATCAACGACGTCCGTCGATCGCGAGCACTCACACGTAAGAATTTGAGGTAACGCCACCTACCATTCTTTAGCCAAATATCGGAAATACTTTCAACAGAGTAGCCAAATTAAAGGACAGGATGTTCTTCGTGTCAAAACTCTTCCTAACTAGTTTGCTGGTTTGCCTTGCCCATGCGTATCCCGAGATAACCAGTCCGGCTGCCGGAACCTCGTTGCCTGGTGGTGTCGCGTTTACTATTACTTGGATCGATTCCGGAGACGCACCAGCCCTAGCAGACCTAACTTCGTATCAAATTTTCTTATATACAGGCTCGAATTCAAATCCTCAGCAGATATACGAAATTGGTCAAGGCGCTTTCAGTGCCGGTAACTCTATAACAGCCAATGTCCCAGTTACGATAGGAGGGTCTACAGAGAACGCATAGTGGGTTTTCCTCTGGATTTCTGACTCTTAAATACTCACATTTCTCTAGCTTTCTCAGTCTAGTATCTACGGCGGCTGCAGGAAAAACTATAACAAGCTTTTCTAGTCGATTCACTCTCACTGGAATGACTGGTACATTTTCGCCCACAGTCATTAGCGAACTTTCAAAGATTTCAGGTGCAACAGGACCACCTGTTGTAAACAACATAGCTGCACCTGCAGCCGTCGCTGATGTTGCGGGAGCTCCGTTGGAGGAAGGAGAATGGGCTATTCCTTATAATCTTCAGACTGGTCTCACAAAATATGCACCCATGCAGCCCATCCCGCCCACTGCTATAACTGCCACAAACATAAAACCGCTCTGGCCAACTTCCTCTGTTGAACTTGCATCAACATATTTACCAACTCCGATCCAAGTAACTACACTCACCCAATCCCAAACTTTCAGCGCAAATAGTCATGCGAATACGGTAAGATACCCCAGATTTAGTATACTTAACAGGCTAATATTTACATGCTAGGGAGCTGCAGCATCTAATCCTGCTGATGATATGCAAAGGTTTCTAAACCGGTGGAAAGATTAACGACTCTACGAATAATGTAACGTTCATAAATATTTTAGGGGTAAAGGCGTAGAATGGAGTAAATTTATCAGTGAATTCTAAATATACAGACTAAGAGTGAATCAACTAAATCATAGCCTCAAGCCAAATTTTCCATGTCACTCCACATTGATGATTCTTAGCCCCCACAAGCTAGCTTACTGATGAATTTAGATAATCAAATCGCTGATGAGGAGCCTTTAAACTGTCTCTTAGATAAACTTTGAAGTCTTGTCAAATAAGCTTCCAGCAGGGGACGTGAAAACCCTACGCTCGTCAGTCTAGTCCTATATGAGTACTAACGCTCTCCGCTGAATCTTCGGAATTAGATGATAAGAATTATATCCAGCAGGCTACGTCTTTGACATACATGTGACAATAAATCATACGCTTAGTTTTACGATGGTAATTATTTGAATGAATGCGCCCTACAACCTCATTACTGGGATCTCTTCTAACCCCGCCGAAGATTATACCAGTGCAAACGATGTCTTAGCTTCCATACCACTCGCGTTTGCACCCACGTTCTAGCTTGCTGGAACTGTTGATCAAATATGTACCCGGAAGCAGAGTATAAAGCTTTTACAAGGTGTTGAGACTGTTGAAACTGTTGAAACTGTTGGAGACTTTACTACTCGGGTTCGTGGGTCTGCAAATCCAGACCCAACAAGTCCGGACCCGTGGAAAAATAGCAGCTCGCGGTCATTCGCATGGTCAAGCAAAGAAGCTCAGCAGAATTTGTTCGCGTCAAAGCTACAGCCGCAAAAGCCATTCAGGCGATTTACGGCTCGAAAAACGATGTTTGGATGGCAGTCGGATCGGGTTTCGGAATTCTGGAATCCGAAGAGGAGGTGTAAGGTTTCTGCGGGCCTCAGTGTAGCCGTCAAGGCTTCAATAATTTAAGAGCAGGACATGGGCTGGATAAGGGATGCCTGCGACTTAGTTTTTTGCTTTCACCGAAGATCGGGAAATTTCATTTGGAAGATGTGACAGGAAGGGGAACCGGCTACAAGCGCGGTATCTGAACTAAATTAGGGTTTCTTCCAAATTTGATGCAAGTCTTTCATTTGAGTTTTTGATTTTAGTTTTGCTGATTAGTTTTGTACTTTTTTTTGCGACAGATTTTATTTACGTATCCAGCTATCTAGCTATGACACAATATCAAAGAAAAGTACAGGAAAGATGACTCAATTTACAAAAGGAGCACTCATACCTCGGATTTCAATTGCAAGTACCACTGCGAAGTTATGGTGGCTTTTCCTTCACCCCAAGTCAACCTTCATCCGTGGATACCCACCCAGGGGAACGTCTCAAAAACCCTAGGTTATCCAGACATGCCTCCATCATCCGTTCACATTTCTCCGCGCGAAATATGGTTTTTGGTGTCTCCTTCCCAAGTGGAGTAGGTTCCCAGGCTACTCAGACTGTACCAGAGAACACCACCAGGAGGCGGACCACAATACCTTCCATCGTTGGCTTGTGTTTACAGTGTAAGCTGCACTCTCGCAACCGAAGTCTTGGCACGTACAAAGCTCGATTTGTAAAAACTCCTTGCCAAAATTCGAGATTTCACGCCTGTCGAGGTTATAGCCTTCCTTCGCATCATCTTGTCAACTTGTCCTTATCCCTCTCACGTCCATCCCAAAGAACAGTCTCCCAGACTTGTGCACCATGCTTCGCTTCCTCCGTCGGATGTAAATATCGGCGTAGGCGTGTCTTTGATAGTCAACTGGGGCCAGAGAGGATCGAAGAGTGGTGTGGTCATTGGGATGAGGATGTACTAGGTCGTACTTGTAGACTTGATGAGGCTTAGGTATGAGTCGTACTCGTTTGGAACGAAATAACGACATGGTGGAGTAATATGAATTTTTGCCTCGTGGGCCAACTTCTTTGATAATGCGAAATTTGACTGAACTTGGCTCTGGGAGAATATTTCACTCCCAGGTTAGTAGAGGGCACCGCGTACAGGTGTTCAGTCTTGCTCTCAACTTCTCTACCTTGTGGAAGTTCAGGCGTTTGGAATTAGTTGGGCCTGTCCACAGTGATCTTTGCCGGCTCCACCGGTCTTGTATCTAACTCGGACGTAAAGCCATTTCATTAGCTTAGGATATGAATAAAACAACAACCACCTCATTACTGGAGGGACACTGTTTCCTTCACAATCTTAGAATCCAGATTTTCACTTGCGCCATCACGTAACGTCCAGAGTTCAATGTTATCTTCGTCGTGGGCAGGTAGAATGGCAAATGCTCTCCTTGCGGCAGACCAATCAAACTAGGAGGTCTTTACCTTCTTTAATCCAAGAAAAGGCCCTCTCCTTTGAGTCAGAATCTCTTAATAGTAGCGAATGGTCATACGATCCGTTGGGGAAACGCACAGATCTGGTACTGAGGACCCAGATAGTTGTGCAGCCCTCATGAGGATTGATGGCTCCTAAACGCACCGGTAGCTAGCTCGATGGTAGAGATTAACAAATGTAGTACATAGGTCAATTTAATCGACTCGAAAAAAAGATAGCCAACACGTGGTAGCTGTCGAAGATTAGCTGTCACGATGAAAACTCTTCAACTCATTTCCGAAGATTACATAAACCAGTTAGAAGGGAGAATAATTGAGGTTATCAACAATGCTACGTTGTTGATATACACCACATTATAAATTATGTACTTAGTTTCACTTCGATAGTTACTTTAATGAATGCGCTCTACAACCTCAACGACTGAGGGGTCATTATTTCATTGAAAAACTACCAATTAAACAGCTTATACCCGAAAGTTGTCACAAAATATTTCGCTGCTGATTTCTGACAGCAGTTGGAGCCTCAACTCAGCAGCTCCGCTTCGAAAGCTGCGATTTGGAGTCCTAAGACTTCCTTTTCCTACAGCCCTTAACTCTTTTCTAGCAGAGGGAGACTCGTCAGGTTATCTCACAACAAAATTTCTCTACAATAGCCTGCAGCTTCAACAATAACGTCCTCTGAATGACTATTTCCTTTTGAAATTATTATGTCGTGGGGGAGAATAGGTCAACAAGTAGAAGAATATGGTGACAAAAAGATCGAATCAAGATAGAAAGAAATCCAAGTCGAGCTTGGTGATGGTGTGAGAGAGCCATCACTTAGATCACTCTGGAATACAAAGCTATGAAGACACTAGCAAGGCATATTGCTAGTTGAGAGAAACGAGTCAATGGAACATTAGTGGCTTGGATGGAAGATACACCGAATCAACCACTACATGGAAGCTGAGGAATTATATTTGAGAGCTTACGAGGACTGAGACTGAGACGCCAAATACTAAGGGAGCCTTGGAAGCTAACGACGAGACATCAAACGGCCACTTTAGAGAAACTAAGGACCAAACCCTGTGCGCCGAGGAAATAGAAAGAAGAGATGAATTGACTATAAAGGATTCTGCCTAAAAACATCCGTTTTGCCAAAAAGCTGCGCAGCACTCCACGCTGCTTTTATCATAAATTTGACATCTTAAACCCCATTTTTATATCTTCTTTACCCCCCGTCCATCATTTAGCTTTCCGAGCTCCATAATAACGAGTGTGGGTGCTGACGTGGGTGAATCCAGCGTTTTCAGCCCTGTTGTTACGGTTTGAACGTTGTTTGAGCTTAGGTGGATACCTAAGCCTGATACTAAGAATTCTTACGATGAGGCTGTATGGGGGGGGGGGGGGGGGAGATGAAGCTGAACGAAACGGCACTACTAGTCAGGAGGCTGAAGCGTCATTACAACTTAGGGACACCTGGAAATAGGTGGCTTGGTAAGAAGTATCGTGCTTAAGGACACGTCACTTGTCTGTAGATTCACGAGGAGGATTAACTCTTATAAATACCTGTTAGTAGTAGCTGGAGTTAGCTTTTCTCCTCATATACTTTATCACATCTATTTATTCATCACCAACTCGGTTTCCGTCACAGAGTGCTCTTCTTGTAAATTGAGTTATCTTCTGTCGAAGGCTGAGAATAACTACCGAAGAAGTTGGATAGAGAGATATCTCGGGTCAAAAATAGGGACTGTCCATACGTACGTGGGTTGTTTGTTTTGGTCAGTGCTTGAATTCTGTATTTAGAACCGCAGGTTATTCTAATCCTAGCGCATGTCTATGTTTAGAGATCAAGAGATCAAGTCAATTATGATCAGTGTATATAGTCCTAGAATTCCGGGAGAAATAGGAATTAAGTTGTTTTTACTGAATTATCTTTTACTTTATTTACATACACTTCGCCTGTCACAGGTCAGGCTCCCCGCACTATTTATTAAAAAAAAAAAAGGCCAGGCTCCCAGTTACCGGACATTATCCGACCAGCCTCGCGACACGAGTCGATTTAGGCGGCGGCCTCGCAGTGCTCTATCCAAGGCACCCTTCACTCCGAAAGCCACCATGCCGGCAACTTCACCCGCCGCTAAGGATATTCTTATATAGTGTAATAAATCTATCCTTAGATCCGTGGCAGAACGGCTGCTGAATGGACAGCATTCATCTCTAGCGAGGACATCGCAATGAAGAGCCCAGTAATAAAGGCGTCTTGCCATTAAGCGTTCAAAGCCCTTACCGAGGCAGCTGAGCAGATATATTGGCCAATAGGATTTTGGGCCTGTGCAATCCTGCCTCTCTGTTTTTGGCAGCATTTATTTATTTTAACGTCGTGCCTGCGCACAACACAGTGCTTTAAAGCCCCATGACGGTTAGCTCAGCCTATAAAGGGCTACCCGACGCACCGGCATTCCCATAACAAAAACCCGATAAAGACCCCACTGCTCCCGGTCCGCATGGTCGCTAGATCAGTGAGACTCTTCTTAAATTGATATAAATTATATAATTAAAATTGGAAATTAAACTACATGTAGATGTTCGTATTTAGATAGCGTTGGTGTCTAAGTAATCAGGGTTGTCCTACAAATGTAGGTGCAAACAGAGCTTCCCCCATTAATGGTACCTTTGAAACTCTTCGAAAAAATAGAGTGGAC